ATTTTATTACCACTCCCACTCCAAATTTTTTTATATTTTTATATGAATTTATTTTTATAAGGTTGATGATTAAAAATTAATTATTCATATTTAATCACCACTCCCACTCTAAATTTTTTTATATTTTTATATGACTTTATTTTTATAATTAGCTTAAGGTTGATGATTAAACATTAATTATTCATATTTTAAAACATAAATGCTATATAAATGCTTATGTTTTAATATTAAAAAATAAAATATAGTACATTTAATCACCACTCCCACTTCAAATTTTTTAATATTTTTTTATGACTTTATTTTTATAATTAGTTTAGGGTTGATGATCAAAAATTAATTATTCATATTTTAAAACATAAATACTAGATAAATGCTTCTATTTTAATATTAAAAAATATATATGACATTTAAGTCATATAAATAAGACAATTAAAATCAAAATTTATGTCAAATGATCATCTTGATTGATTTTGCATTAAGGATAGAGTTATGGAATCTCTAAGTGAAATCATGTCATGATCCTCCATTGTACTAACAAAATTACTTTGAGAAATTTCTTGATCTTTGCTCTCTTCTCCAGGCACTTCAGGCATATAATTTGGGTTCTAATCACACCTATCAAATTCTTTATCCCTAATTGCATGTTGCCTAATATAATTATGAAGTGCAATAGTTGTAGCTAGTATTTTGAAACTTGGACCGAACCGACCGATCGAATCGATCAAACCGCCACCCGGTCATGAAAACGGGCCAGATGCATATCCAGAACCATTTAGGTGATCCAACTGCCCAAACCTGCTAGACTCGGTAAAACCATCCAACCTGGAAAACCTGGTAAACTTGGTGGGCCAAACTCAAATATGCCGTTTTCAATTTTTTCAACCATTTTTTAATTCAACAATTATTTTAAACTTTTTTTTTGTTTGATACCCCTTTTGCCCTCCTCTACACATTATAATTCCATGGTAAAATACTTAAAAAAACATAATTTGAATGCATATCGGTAAAATCACGAAATCAGACTAGGAACCCTAAGCCTTCTTCTTCAGTTCTTTTTCGACTCGTTACCGTTCCTCCCCAATCTCCAGTTTGCAGTTCTCCTTCTCCAGTTCTCTAAACTCTAATCCATTGATTCTCCAAATTCCAAACAAATTGCAGAGAAGAAACCCAAAACAATGATTCCTTATCTCTTTCGTCCAGATTTGGAATCACACTTCTTCTGTTCTTCATCAGATCTTCATCTTGTCACCATCACCAAGGTTGTTCTCTCTCTCGATCGGTCGATCCTCATACTTCTTTTGTTCTTCATCACATTTTCATCTTCTCGCCGAGGTCATTCTCTCTCTGGATCCTTTTTGACCTGAAAATCTTTCTTCTTTGGTTCTCTTCAGGTACAAAATCACTTTCAGCTACTGCCTTACTCTATTTTAAAACAAGAAAGGGCATTAAATGGAAGGGTTTTGGGGTTTATAACAGAAGGGTGTGGGAAATTTGAAGGGTCAAAAGGGTAGAAAGAAAGAAGATTAGAGTAGGGGTTTGTTTGGCCCTTTGATGTTAGGATTCTATGAAGAGCATAAAAAAAAGTACCGGGAATTTTATAGAAAGTATGAGACATTGCCAATGGCAGCAAGGCAGAGGCAGAGAGCAAAAGGGAAAAGATTGTATCAGGGAGAAAGAGAAATAGAAAGCGAAAGAGAAGGGAAAGAATGCTGTTTGTGAAGCTTTTGCACAGTGAAAGAGAGGTAAAAGTTTTTAAGGTCGGTTCAGGTTGGCCCCTATACGGTTATAACTTCTTTAGTGTTATCCCTATCATTTTAGTATTTTTATATTTGTCCTACCTTCACATTACAATGGAAATGATCTCTTTAGAAGTGACAAAACCATATAGAATTATAAGGTTATTTCGATAATATAGTATTAAATACGTGGATATAACACTAGGTGAAATTATGATCAGTGCATGGAGCTTTTCAGAAGGAAACAAATCAAATGGTGGTAATGCTCATATGAATGCCTTGAACCATGATCACAAG